AATAAGTTAAAAAGAAATTTTGCAATAAATTTAGAAAAAAAAAAGAAAATTATCTATATCGAACAAAGTGTTGAATACATTTCTCACTGTTATATAAACTTATTAAAATATTTCTTCAACTAATGAACTACTAATATTATTTGAAATACTTATTAAATCTTATTGAAACAATAATAGTCTCAATAATAATAATAATGGCAATGATAATGATAATTATAATGATGATGATAATGATAATGATAATGATAGTGATAGTGATAATGATAATAATAATAATAAAATAATGATAATAAACAATAATTATAATAATATAATAAAAATGATAACATAAAATATATACATTGTAATGGGCGAAATATTTGTAGAGGTATTTTCACCGGAATTAATGAATGGGCCACCGCCAGCATATTCTCTAACTAGTCCGTGCTTACCACCAAATAGTCTGCGAGAACAGGATTGGCCACTTGTACCATCGTCATGTTTTGATGGCTATCCACCATATCCAGCTGGTTTGTGTATTCCTTTTTATTTTTGATTATTTTTCTTTTCCAGAACCAAATTTAAAGAACAAGACTTGCTCTAAAATTTGTTGATTTATGATGATTTAAGAAATAATCAGCAAATATTTTAAACTTTCATCAATTCGATGTTATAACCACGATTTATTTATGTTATTTAATTGTTAGAATTAAATTCATTAATAAATTCAATTATTTTTTTCCTCGGTAATATTCAATTTTTGTCAACTGATTTGCTAATTTGATGGAATAAAATAGCTTTTAAAAGAAACGTTTGAAATGCGATCGAACTCTTGTCGAAAAGATAATTCTTCACCTTTGACTCCATGTTACATTATTTCTCCAGTACAGTATTGCAGTTTCTTGCGTATGAGACAAACAAAAACCTAGCAATAGCATTTTATTTCGAGAAAATTACGCAAAAAAATGTTTAGAAATTCAACGATTCTTATATTTCTGATTGCTTTCATTTTCAAAATATGTAATTGACAGTTGAAGTTGGTAATTTGAATAGTCAATCATATTTGAATTTTTAAATATCTTACTAACGATAAGCAATTAAAGGTCCACCACTACTCAAAGTTGCCTATCCGAAAGATATCCCCGGTCCAACGTACGCCTGTCCGAAATGTGACGGAAGATTTTTAGTAAGTTTATTTTTCAGTTCATTTGGTTTTTCTCATAATAACACTCTGATTAATTATAATTTCCTGAATTCGTTCAAATATTATTTCCATTTCCCAAATTCCTTCAAATCGTTAATACAACTGATAATATTTCTGTTACCTTTAACAGATCGATCGATCAGCGATTTCTTAATTCATTTTATCAATTAGATAGTATTTAGTCATTCATTCAAAAGCGAATTGAAAATTATTCATTGAAACAAGCAATAGATCAATTCTTTATCATTTTTAATCAAATAATAAAAATCTCATCTTTCATCTTTTCTCCCACATTTCTTTTCCACCACCATTAAAATTTTTGGGAAGCATCGTCTATAGAAAAAAAGACGACAAATATTATTTAGCAAATTCAAATGAATTATTGATTTCTTAATTTTCTTTCAGTACTATAGACCAGCTGGTATAGTGCAATGTCCATTTTGTCATTCTGCAATTTCTATTGGTCGCTATGTATGTTTGATCAGATATTTTATTAAATAATGCATTTAAATTTGAAAAATAGACGAGGAAAAAAGAAAGTGCAAAAAAAAGGAAAAAAAAATCTAATGAATTAATGAACAAATAATTTCGCATTCTTAAATAAATAATTTTGAGTAAATTCATAAAATTTTTATTTCTAATACTTGAATTATGAATTTAAATGGATTTAATTTAAAATTTTATTTTCAATTAATTATCTCATTCTTTTTTCTTTTTATTTTAAGTGTCTATTTTATACAGGTACGAATACGAGCATGTTCGTTTATCATGTTTGGTTTATTATTTTTAATTATCAGTTTAACTTTTGGTTTGGCAACGAAAATACTTACTGATTGTTCAATGGGCTACTTCATTGTTTGTTAGTTTTTTTTTCTCTCACATTTAAATTTATATAAATTTTAATTGGTATGTAATTCCACAAAATTCAAAATATTTTTTTAATTTACATTATTCTATTCAAATACTATCTTAATTATTTGAAGTATTTGAATATTTATTTCCCTTTTTTAAAGCTAAATAATGAAGTATTGATTTAGTTTTTCCAGCAAATCTGGATGCAGGAATTTGATTTGAATTTTTTTATTTGCTATCAAAATTTTTTCTACCTCAAATAAAAATATTAATTCGGTCCGTTATATCCCACAACATTTAATATAACTATCATTTCACTGCCCTCTCTTTCTTTCAGTTGCAATGATCGCAATATCCGGTCTAATCTTATTGATTCGTGCTTTTCATATGTGTTTCCGTTATCAGGAAACAGAACGTATCGAATTTCCCTGAAAAGAAAAATGAACAAAAAAAAAGGAAGGAATGAACAGAAAATGACGGCAATTTTAATTTAATTTGATAATCAATCAAAAAAGGCAATGATCAAATACGTACGGATATTATTTGTTAAAAAGAAAAAGGAAAAAAAAAACGAAGACAAAAGAAGAAAAAAATAATACGTTTTTTTAAATAATATTTAAAACTTAGAAAATTATCATTTTTCAATTAGTCATTTGTATTGCTAATCACTTTATATTGTATAAGGAAGTATTGAAAGTTTAATTGCTAAAATTTTGGAAAATTGTTTGCTACAATTAAAAAAAATCAATTCTGCCTAATCGCGAAAATTTCAAAAGCTTAATTATTAGAATTTTTTTCATATATCAAAACTAATTACTTCCAGTTATGTACATATACACCTATATATATATGTATCTGTTCATACTTTTTTTTAATTTTTTATTTTTCCTTTTGATACTTTCAAATGAAATTTTCAGGAATGTTCAATTTTTTCTTTTTTTCTCCTTCTTCTTCTCTCTCCTTCTTTCTCTCTCATTCTTTCTCTTTATGTTTCAAGAAAAATTTTTTACAATTTATGAATTCTTAACACTTTAAATGCAACAGGTGATATTGGTGCAGCAAAAAATGGTTTCCATCAGAAAATCAAAAAAGAGGAAGTCAGAATTAATTAGTACTCATTCCATTTAATAATAATGCACGATCATTTTGGTCTCGCCTAAATTGAAAATAAAACAAATTAAATTAAAAATTGATAAAACTCAAAATATATTTTATGTATTTATTCAATTTTCAATTAGTTATGGCAAAAAAAAAAACAGTTGACAAAATGAATAAAGCAACTAACTTCATTCAAAAATTCTCCGAAATATTGACAGAAAATTGAAATTCTTGTTATTTTTGTCATTCTGCTCAATATTCTTTATTTCCTATTATTTACTTTCCTATGTGCCTTTAAATTTAACACTTTCAATTTTTTTATTTTTTAATGTATGATACAAATATATTTTTTTTCTATATTATTGCAATTATTCGTATTGTTTTCATTTATCTTACATTTATTTCAAATTTGTTTAAATTTCCTGCTCAACAATACTTATTGGTGTATAAAAACGCTAATCTTTTTTCTTCCTTTTTTTTAAAATTTTATTTAAATTGTCATAGTTTGGTTAAATAGTGTATAATTTGCCTAATAGTTGAAATAATAATGCTTCTTCAGCTGAAGAAATGGAAATGTGCCGAATAATTGAAATAAATAAAAGCATGTTAAAGGAATGGACTATCGCGACATCAATGATAATTTTTTTTATTAAGAATTAAAAAAGAATTATCTTTGCTCATAAGCAACTTCATTACGACGTATTCGATAATAATTTCCTCGAAATGACATGAAATTTTGCAGCAAAAATAAAATATAGTATTTAATTAATTGATAACTTATCTTTGCATTTAAATTTCGGAAAGCTTTCCATTTGTTACGTATATAAATTTTGGGAAGCTTTCAATTTGTTACTTGAAAAATGCAATATTTTTTGAATGATAAAGAAAGCAAAAAAAGATGATTCGAAAATATCATAACTGATCACAAAAAGCAAAAGAAGAAAGACGAAACAGGGATTGATTGATGAAAGCAAAAGCAAAAGCAAAACAAATCGAAACAAAATCGGAATTTATTCTATATTGAAAAAAAAAATTGAAATTGATAAAGATAAAAAAAGCGAAATTCTGATTTCAGAAATGATAAAATAAAGCAAGCCAAGATCAAAATTCATCTGCTAACAAATAATTTCAATCAAATTAATGATAAATGAATAAAATTTGTCTTAAAAGAAATTGTCATGAATCATTTGACAAAACAAATGATTCGAATATTTTTTAATTTTTTCTAGCAAAATTAGTTTTAATTACTAGATGTAAATGGAAATAATTCATTGATCGTTGATTAATTTTGACTCATTTCTCCTATGCCTATTGAAATTATCATTTTATTGAATGTGTAAAAAATTTGAACGGATGAAAAATTTTATTTAAAAAAAAGAAAATTCTGTCAATGCAATGGCATTTCAGTATTTGTTCAATCACAGTGTAACAATTTGATCGAATTACAGATAGCACATTAAACTGCAATCGTATTGTTTCAATTATTTCTTTCGCTATGATAAATTCCTCGTTTTATAGCAGCAAGAATTATGTATCCAATGATACTAATATTAAAAAATTAAAATAAATGAAAATATGATTTTATTTAATTTTTGAATTTTGAAGGTGATAAAAAGGATTAATTAATTAAGGATTTTTTTGAAGGTGATAAAAGGGATTAATTAATAAAGTGTATCCCTTTGGAGTAATATATCAAACATAATAATACAATAAAAATAACAGTGTTTAATGCAATTTTAAAAATCAACATTACTCTTTTCTTACTACTTTCAAGCGGTCGATAACTCTTAAATTGAAATAATTAAACAGAACGATATAAGATTAGAAGAAAATGAAACTCTATGATAGCACTCTTATCAGGGATCTTGGCTAATTTCAGTCATTTGCATACTTGTTCAGATTTTTTCATTCCATTCAATGTACATAAATATATTTATAAATATCAAAATAATAGCGATCTGCAAATTTTGCAATTTTATTTATATCTTCAACAAATATTATTAAGCAAAAAAATTACATAAGCAATAAAATGATTAATATTCATCAGCCTTATAAATTCTTCGACAATAAATTTGACAAAAATTTCATATTTAATACAATTTATTGTTAACATAAAAAACATACACATGCAAATTTTGTGATTTTATTTATATCTTCGGCAAACGTCATTTAACAAAAAATTTAAATGAATATTTTCTAAGCAAAGAAATAATTAATATTCATATGATTTAATAAACTTTTTCAACATCAAGTTTATAAAATCTAATTGTTCCACACTTAATAAAAATTAATTATTCCATGCCTGATAAACTTAACTGTTAACTTGAAAAAAGCTGATGACATACTTTAACAATAAAAATAGCTTTTACAGTGATATGTGATAATATCATTAATTTACATAATGTTATTGTATGTCCATGACGAGAAAATAATGCTAATAACTGTTCATAAAAACTAACTGCCAATAATTATGGTATCTAATAGAACCACAAATACTGCAATCATTATCAACCAGTATTTGAAAAGAATAAGAATTGAGATATAATAAAGATTTTTCAAAAAATTAGTCGAATAATTTCATCAAAACTGAATTATAATTTGATTTATCATTATTCTTGGTTTTATTTTAATGTTCTATTTTTATTACCACATTTGGTTTTATATTTTATTATTAATTGCTTTGCAAATAAGTTAATTTCAATTTACAAAGTTTATTCCAAACATACACTTTTAGATCTCAAGTTATCAAATATTATATTACTTGCACTATACTTAATTGTTAATCAAATTATTATTCCAACGATAAGAAAAAGGGATCATTATCGTAATATTTGAAGAGTAACAACTGAAAAATGACAAAATTTTTAAAATTTTTAAAATTTTCTGCATGTTATAAATTAATTAAAGTAAAAACGAGCACTTCAAAGAGCAGTTAATTTAATCGGAGCATCCCTGATTAATTGTGTAAAACATTAAGCATAATCTGCAAAGGAGAGCAAAAGAAAAACTGTATACTTAATCCCAGATCCTGTCATCATAAATCTTCGATCCCGATATTCTAAATCTTCGTGGTCGAACATTTCATCCATCATATTTTGCATAAAGGAATGCTAAAAGTGGAAGATTTGAAGATTTGAATAGTCAGCTTTGATAATCCTTGCATGCAAATGTAAATAATATTTCAAACATTTTCAAATCTCAATCATTTATCATCAAATGTCACTTTTCAAACTTTCATATTGAAAAAGATGTAAAAATACAGCGATAGAAATATGCAAACAATATTTTTCAAACAAAATTTCATAAAATAATCGGTAATCATAAATTATTTAAAAATTATCATCTAAATTTAATTTTATATTTTGTAATTTACGTTGCGTATTTTACACATATTTGAGATTATCAAAACTTTTTTTTTTTCTCTTAGAGAGAGAATTCGACATAAAGTAGAGTGCAAAATTTTGCATTTAAATTCTAAGAGATTTCGGAAATTTATTGCATGAAGAAACTTCTGATCTTTTTCGTTTTTAAAATTGAGGGCCGAGAACAGGGATGGTAAAAGACGTACCGGCCTTAATTTGAGAGTATTGATGTTTTAGGAATTTAGGAGTGGAGGGAGCGGTGCTTTGGGCCTGTTCTGTGAGGTGGCTTTCTTCTCGTCTTTTGCTTTTTGTAACGGAAGGAAATTCTCAGAATTTTAGAAAATCTCCAACTGTTTCAATATTTTATATTTTTTATAATCGGCCACTATATAGTTAAATTCGATCCTTTAAGAAGTATGCCAACTTTTTCCGCAAATATCTGAACCAAAAACGAAGGATTCCGTTAGTTTAAAATTTGGTTCTTTCAAAAGGACATCAAATTTTTCAAGAAAAAAAAAATGAAATCTCATTTTTTTTTCACCTTTATGTTCAATATCTGAGCTTAGAAGAATTGCTGATTTAATCCTCGAAGATATCGTTATGTAGAAGTTATGGGATAGATATATTCCTTATTTAAATTAAATTTCATGCTAGTTGTGCGAAAAGTTTTCATTTTCAAATTGTTCTGGTGACATGGTGAAATCGGATTTTTAATTTATAATTGCAGTTAGAATTTCAATTTCGGACGATATTTTTATTTTCAAATCATAACACTGGAATTTGTGGCCATCAGTTTAGATTTGAATTAAGATAGAAATTTATATATTTTTTTTTTGTTTTCATTTTCTTCCGCTCTATTGTAAAAAATAAGATATGTCGATTGGATGATTGTTTATTATCATTAGTTATCATCAAGTTTCAGAAAATCTTCATCTTCAGTATTGTTGTTACGTTATACTTCATGTTCTTATCGTTTACTTTCAGGATTTCATTCCGCTTTTTTATCATTATTGTTACCTTTTGATCGTCATTGTTATTTTGCATTTCAGGTCAATTTTTTGAAAATCAAAGATGGGAAATGGATCTTTCCTATCGATTATTTTTTCACGACAGCAAATTGTCACGGCAGCTGGTATTGCTGCTGCTGCATTTATTGGTTATTGCATTTATTTCGACCATAAAAGACGTTCGGCACCTGATTATAAGCAGAAAATACGTGAATGTAAGTAATTTTAGTTCTCAAAAGTTTTTCCTTTAATGGTAGTTTTATTACTTTTCTTATGGCGTCAAGTGGAATAAAGATTTTCCATCTTCCAATTTTTCAGCTTATGATAGTGCAGTTATTGAAATTAAAAAAAATTTTGACATTCCATCTGACTTCATATAGTAACCAGAATTTTTAAGATATAATAGCATTGTTTCTTTTTTTGCACAATCTGAGTGAAGTTTTTGTTCGGTTATAGCAATGATTTGATTTCACGACCTTCAACTAGGAAAAACACAGAAATGATAGGTTGGTAATTATATATAAAGGAGTTCAAAATTTTCATTTAGTGATGGAATGGTTTCCTTGGCGTCATTTTATGGCATTAAATTGTAAAATGTATTGGTTTTTTACTATTAATATGCTATATCATGCACAAATAAATATTCTTGTGTATGAATTATGTCCAGATTTAATTGTATAGGTATTTCTGATAAAGTTATTAGTGTAAATGAAAGAATTGCTTAGTGTAAATGGAAGAATTATCGGTGTAAGTGAAAGAGGAACAAAATTTTTAGTTCAAAAATTTTGTGTATTTTAGTACGTCGCGCTACTGCGAAGAATAAGCAGCCAACAAATTTACCGAATCCACGTAATGCCACCGAGATGCAGGCATTTTTCCTGCAAGAAGTGCAATTAGGTGAAGAACTCTTAGCAGACGGTACTTTCTTTTCTTTTTGATATTATCAGAAATAAGGAAACAAGTATCACTCATATTATTATAGAATTTTGATTTTTTTTTCTTTATTTTGATCGTTTTCAGCAATATATATCAAAATGTATCTGAATCGCGTTCAAGTCTATCTGTTTCTTATCTAAATTTCTGTTCATCTTGTTCTTACCATGTCACGAATAAGTATGAGATATTCATAAGCCCAAAATGCTGTTTAAAAGTCTGAAGGATGGGAATGTACTTTTCCGAGAAGCGGTTTTGTCTGTGTTTTTTGACCAGGCTTGCTTTACAAAGCTTTAGAACAAATGAGATAAGTGATTGATTGCCTTATATTTAATATAGTTACATTTTATGTTTTTAAATTGAGGACATACCGATGAGGGTATTGAACATCTGTGTAATGCAATCACTCTCTGTGGTCAGCCAACACAGCTAGTACAAATTTTCCAGCAAACATTACCAAGCGAACATTTTGCCATTTTGCTGCAGAAGTTACCGGAAGCTAAAATTGTAAGATTTATTTATTTTATCGTTCCAGTTATTAGGCCTTCGAATTCAAACGAATTGTTTTTCAGTATCTTTTTTAATTATGGACTAGTAATAGTTATGTATGATAAAAAAGAATTATTTCAACTACGGTATTTCCCTACTTTTCTGGCTTATTTTTCTTCAATATCAGTTCTTCCCGTCAGTTGAATAGATTGAGAAACTTTAAGAAATTTTAATACTTTAATAATATCTCATCTATATTCTGTGGTCGCCAATTCCATTATGAAAAATTAAAAGGTCAGATAAAATGAACGGTTTTAGGATTATGGCAAAGAAAATAGAATATAAGTAAGACAGTTACATAGTAAATTGTTTTTGTCTTTCTCATTTTTAAACTTATTAACTTCTAAAACATATGCAGCGTCTTATGCGATTGTTCGGTAATCAGTTGGGGCAAGCTGAGCGTGCACATGCTGGAATGGAAGAAGATGAAATTCCAGCAGCTGTTACGGCGGCGCATCCCATTGAAATCAGTGATGATCTAGAACTTGAATAGTTTACGGTGGATCATATTTCTTCCTTTTTTAATTTTTTTTAGAAAGAGAAGAAAGAGAAGGTCATTCAATGATAATTTAATAATTATTTATAATTTTTCGCTTGTAAGTTCTGTCCTATTTGGTATAAGATAGTAACTATAAATTAAAAATCCTTATGCAAATTTTATATAATCATTTTCAAGATTAGTTTGCTATTTGATTAGACCTTTTGAACCATCTTGCAATTATTTACCTTTTTTTCTAATGTGACTTGTACTTTCACCGAGTTTGCTTCTCTTTCTAACTATTTCTCATCTATATAGTGCCTCTAAGAGATCTATCATTGCGTAAGACAACATTATGGATCGTTTAACACTAATTACCACACATATCTGAACTGGAAAAGTATGATTTATGAAATATTTTTATCTTTATCAACTTTTTTGAGCGATTTTCATTGTTGTTGCTGCTACTGTTACTGTTTTTTTCTATGAACAAAAAGAAATATACTTTAAAATACATTCTTTGGTGCGGTGTTACTGTCAAAATGCTTTACTGTTTCTTATGATTTATTTTACTGATGACTGAACGAATTTTGTCTTATTCGCTTAGAAACATTTCGAGATATCAATGTTGCAATCTATTTTTCGATTGAAATGAGAACACAGCATGTTGTCTTTTCTATTTGATCACAATTGTTACATCAAAAATAATGTAGCTGATGATTCGGAAGGGCAAGTTTACAGGAAAGAAACGAGGTAGGAGGAATGAACTTTGAGAATGTTCCAAAATATTAGGAACGATTCTCATGGCATTAGTCGAAATTTTGTATTTCCGAGATTTTTCATTTTTTGTACTAAAATTCATTTCTTATTGCCGTATATTAAAGCGATTCTGAAATTTTCGGTTGATAGAATTTATATTGTGTTTTTATTGTTTTTTTTTCTTTGGTAAAATGGCGAGTATAATTTGCTACACGTATTACTAAAATCTAGTTACTTTTTAAGAACTTAAGCAGGCTGAGAATCATTTCGAAGGTTGTGCTGCATTAACGATCGTCCTATTTACTATTTTAACTAGGGATTACTTTATTTCACCACTTTTTACTACAACTTTTCCGACTTAAGGTTATTCGATTTTGAATTCTGGATAAATGTAAATTCTCTTCGTGTGATGTATGCCATTACAGTTTTTTTGTATTTATTGCTCTTATTCTACTTCTAATATTCCAGTTATTTTTTTATTTCAAATTTCATTAAATTATTAAATTTGTTGAATGTACGAGAAGGGCAGGTTTAAAACTTCCAAATTCTGCTTCATTACAGTTTCAAATTCAAAAATCTTCTGTCTTGAAATCAAGTTATTATCAAGATTGATGTTATGAAGTATTAATCTTCATGAACTTTTTTAATAAATTCATGCAAATCTGAAAAGAGATACAATTTTATCAAATGACAAGATATAGCCTATGTTTCAATTCAGCGCGAATAAATATTGTTCAGATAATGAACGATTCATTTTTTTTCCAGTTGGTGGTCATGTCATCAGTAAAAAGATACATAATTTGTATAGCGAAAAGTTAAAAGTATTCGATGAAGCAGTAATCAGATAGTGAAGTGTCTCTATAACGAAATTTATCAAGAACAGTTGACGTAATGAAAATAAAAAAAAATCAGGTAATTTAATCGTTGAAAATGAAAATTAGATAAGATAATTATCTAATAAATGCTATCGTTATTTAATTTCATTTATGTTTAAGCAAAGATTTCTTTTTATTTTTCAAATACTATCATTTCATAAAAGTATTTCATTTTCTATTTATACATTGAAATTCAATGCCACTTTAACAGAGGGTGGAAGATGATGGATAGAGGGAGGGGGATGAGAAAGGTAGAGGATGAAGGGGGAGGGACATTTTTAGTGTTTATTGCAAAAGTTAAGAAGTGGACCGGTTGTAAATGTTGAGCATTAGTTGTATCGTTTACTGGTTGCGGTCGATGTCCTCATATGGTCATGACCGCCGGTGTCATCATTGTCATCATTAATCTATCATAGCAATAGTAATAGCAATAGTAGTAACAGATAATAGTAAGGCAAATGATAATTACTTATTAACTTTCTTCATAATTTATTAATATTTGTATAAAATTCGATTTGAGTTAGTTGCTATCATCATTGCTATACGAAATGTTAACAGTAATTATAGTAACTGAGATCAGA